TCTGCTCACCCAACGAACAAGTGCAACGTAGCAAGATATTCAAGAAGAATTGAGTCCAAACTATGGTTGCCATCAGAGCCCGCTATGTGACATCTACTCCGGTTGCTGCATACTGAAGATCGACTATGTCAAGCCATAAAAACTCAATGTTTACAAAAACGACACGGACTCCAGTTGGGACTACGCATTGGAAGCAGCCCCGTTGCTAAACGATCGTACCATCTTGGGCAGAAGGCCCACACGGTACAACGATTAGTCGATACAATCATTAGTCAAGCATGGTCCTAAACCAGCCCTTCTGGGATCCGGCGGAGGAAACGGATTTGCACCGAATTTTTCACCGCCCGAGTTTCATCCGTCGAAAAACTGGAAACCAACTCTGGCCGGAACACAAGTCGAACTGATGAAGGAAGCACTGCTGACCCTAAACGGACCAGCTAACTTCATTCAGCTACGGACTCGATAACAACACAGCCATCATGGCTGTTCAATCTGTTCTGCCTGTACGGACATGTTGTCAGGATAAAGTTCCTGAAAACCGTAGAGTATCCAGCACTTGAACAACATTCCAATCGGAAATGATGGTAGCAAAACTCAGATTGAATTTTTCAAGCAGAATTACTTGTCAAAGTCCACCAACCCCTACACCCTGCCATACAATTCAATCAGCTTCAAGGACTACAGCGCCTCCAAGAACAATCGCTTCCATTCCCGAACAAGATTCTCCACTTCTTCAATTCCCCACCCGGTATGTCCGAAAATCTGCTGCTGACTGTATTTATCACCAAGAACTGCCATCCGTCGCATGTGCGAAAGTTCCCACTGAAATCGGAACGTTCCTCCTCCGGATTGGTCGAGCTCCCGAAAGTGTGCTTCTCCTCGTCCAAGACGATGAACGGTGCGTGAAGCCAGGAGAACATCGAAAACATGGGCATGGACATAGCACCAGCACCTGGCAACCCAATGTCTGAAGTGGCCTTGATAGCCTCCGCCGTGGCAGCAGCGTTCAGTGGTGTAACGCCCATTTCGGTGACGAGCGACTGTCTCAAATCCGAACACGATGAACCAATGTAAGATGGAGCCCATATCCTTAGAAGCTAAGCAAAAGCAACGACGAGACTTGGTGGAGAGTCACTGTTGTGTTTTGAAAAAAATTTGATTATATTGTAGCAACATCAATAACAAATGTTGACACATGCACACTGCGCAGGCAAAGAAAAAGTTCAATCTTGCCAGTAATCCGAAAAATTGTAACCATGGGTGCCAAACAGTGCCAATGACAGTGCCCAGGTGTGCCCAAGCTTGGCAGAAGAACATTTCATCGGTCATGTCGCCATATGGATCAGTTCACCGAACTTTAATCATGAATCAATATACAATTAAAATTAATTTGGAACGCATTTAAATAATAGATATAAGTTGATTAATTATAAAATAACAGAATCAGCACAACTCGAAAGAACTAGTCATGTTTAAGTGAAGGAATCGCTCATATAAATAAAAAATATTAATTGTTTAGAAGATAACGAAATCATTACAACTCGACAGAACTAGTTATGTTTAAAAGAGGCAAACATTTCTAAAAATGTAAAACATTGATTGTTTAAAAATTTCCGAAATTAGTACAACTTTAAGGAGGGGGTACACTTTGATTTTTCAAAAAAATGCATTTTTTTTGGCTTAAAATGTTCCTTGGAATGTATACTTTAATTTAGAAAGACTCCAAGTCCGCCAGAATATTCCTTACTGCCTAACGAAGCGATTTCCTAAAACATGTACCGGCGCGCTGAGAGAGCAATTTTATCTTTAAACGCGTTTATCTCGAAACGCGGTTTTTCAAACTGGCGTGGGAAATAACTCTTACCAGTTATCATCAAATTTGGATATCGCCTAGGTTTTCTTAATCAGAATTAAGTTCTACTTAGAAATACGAATCCACATTTTCGATTTAGTCAAAAATGGATTTTTAATCCACGATTTTGTAAGCATTTTTAGGGGGATTTTTTTTCCTAAAGCCACAACTTTTGAAAAAATTTATTTAAAAAAAATCGGAATACGTATTTCTAACCCAAATTTCATTACAAATCAGGATTTTTGTTCGATTCATGTTCCAGGATCACATGGAAAGGAGTATTTTCCCACGCCGTTTTCCGACTTCCGCGCGAGGACGCCCGCGCGACCTGGTGCACCGGCCACGGGGAGACGCCAATCGAGTTCAAAAAAATACAAATTGTAGTTCGGAGGATGACTAATAAATGGGTTATAACAAATTTGCCCTCCCTGAGTGTTTTATTGCTTAAAAAAATTAACGAAAATTCCTTACTTTTTGGACGTTCAAAGTGTACTACCCCCTTAAAGAACTGCTTATGTTCAAAAGAAGCACGCATTACGTTTGAATAGCCTGCCACGTTGAAAAGATCCTTCTTAATCTTTTTTCGAGACTGATTTCAAAATTTACTGAGCTTTGAGAAAAGTTCAAAACCCGAGAAAATGACTTGCTTTTCGGTGAAATTACTCATTCGGCGAAATGACCTTCGGCGAAATAATGTTCGGCGAAATAATGTTCGGCGAAATAATGTTCGGCGAAATAATGTTCGGCGAAATGTCCCGCTCCCGTTTTATATATAGTATTACAAAGTATTTCATATACACAGTTATTCCATAGAAAAAAGTTATAGTGCGCCTCAAAATTCAAGTTTTTACTTTCTAGAAAAGTGTGGAATTCAAACCAAGAAACCCACCCGTGTAGCCCTTAGTGAACACACAAATTTGCAGCAACTGGTTTATGACTGAAATAAGTCGCATAGAAGATTCTAAAACCGATTAGTGACAAGCGTGCTACTAGACCATACAGGGTAAGTGCACCAGGTCTTGGCCTTAATGGTCATCTAATTGGCCCAGTCTTAAATTTCAAATTTGTTCATGCTTTACAAAATTTATTTCGATCCAATGTTAGAACGTATAGGTATTTTGCAAATCCTCTGCGCAAGTTGATGGTGATTTTTTTTTAAGCTTATCCATTTTGGAGTTTTGACCATTGGCTATTTTATCACTGTAGATGGAAATTTATTTATACCCTAGGGCCAAAACTGATGCATTACAGCCATAACTGGAACACTTAACCTAGTTGTGTTCTATAGAAACCTTCGCCAGTTAAAATAATGGCAGTTTTACGAAATCATATCTAAATTAAAATATTACACCGATATGGGTACCCAAGCAACATTACAAGTTTTATTTTTTTTTTCAAAGCATCCTATAAGTCTAAATTATGGACTAAAAAACCTTCATAAAACCTAAATTGTTACTTGGGTAGTATCGTAAAAGTTAAAAACTTTCTAATCTTGCACAGGTTTTGCATTCTAATACATATGGATTGTGCGTTCAACGTAATAATATACTATGCCAACAGAATCGAATCCACCACATTTAACATGACCTTACTGCACCTTTACTGACAGATCTAACAAATACCCCAGCAGTAGCATTGAGCAGACAATGCAAAGCCCCCTTTTTGATAATCTTTTCTAATGTTCTTCAAAACCCATACGCGTTTTCAGTGGTCTTATTGCACCAAAGTATACCTTAAACGTCCATCTTAAAGAGAAAGATTTGGGATTACGGTCATGTGGAATTTTTTAACGATAAAAGTCTGATGCGTGGAGGGGCTGACAAAACCGAGTCATTACTGAATAGCTTTCATCGAACGAAATATGATTTTCCCCGAACCATCGTTGTCATAGGATAATTTTTAAAAACACGCTCAGTGCATGTCATCTGCGAGTCGACCACAAATGACGTCAACAGGAATTCTACCGCACCGAATCATGGCAAATATTAGAATAATTAATTGAAGCCCAGCGCCGACGTTAAGCAGTTACGAGACCCTGCGGTTGTCAACGCGGCTAACAAATCGTCCAACTATATGAGACTTAATTAAACCCGACCAGTATGCAGAATAGCCAGCCGTGCACACGAAAGATGGACGCAAGAAACTGGTATTGTACATAGCGGACAATAATTGATTCATACGCATACGGCATGATCGCAGTGAACAAACGCAAATGCAAACGATCTCCTTTCGAGATGTATCGCTGACCAGCCTACTACTGCTGCCGTTGTTTTCGTCCGATTTTTTGTGTTGTTTGTTCCAGCACTTCGAGAAATAATACATTTTAAATTAGCCCTAGCGACTCTATATATGATCTACCACCAGCTTGGGCCCTAGAATCGATCGATATAATTTATGCACAATAATTTCAATTTGTTAAGAGATTATAACGTCCCCCTCTACCCGCGAGTAGTTGCTGTTGTTATGGATCCAAGTGAGCCCTGGCTGCTTCTACTGCGACTTGCGAGCGCGCTTGCCAGCTAGTGATTCCAAGAGAACTACGAAATAAGGGTATAATTATAAATCAATGCTTGATTTATATTAATGATTGTGTTCGGTGTAAAAGAAAATGTCCATGTGCTGAATTATACACATACCCACCCGATCTCAAATGAGACACATGAAGGAATTTTACTGCGTGTAGGGACCAACCGGTTAGTGCGGAGCGCGGGGCATGATTGAGAACATTAATATGATTTCTGGCGTTCAATTAAAGGCAATTGTCGTCAATCAATGAGAATGTGTGTATCGATAGATATGCTAAAGGCGTTCCTCCCCATCCACCAGCTCCAGCTCCTGCCTTTAGTTATGGAGGTATGCGTTTTGAAATTATAATGCTTCGCTCTCAACTGTGGTGGTTGTGGTTGTGGATTCATTCTACGTGGGAATCGATGTGGCTGATTTACGTTCTAAATATTTGAGTATAAGTGGTGTAAATATTATCAATTGGGTGCAATCAATGCTGAAATCGATTTACAGTTTAATTATCTGAAAAATGAATCGACACCGAGATGGCTTCGATAGATCGTTTATGTCATCGGAAAGTCCCCCTCAGCACAACCGCCTGGATCCCAGATTGTGATGATTCAAATAATTGATGTCAACTCACCTCAATTTTGAAGCTCCCAACACGATGATGGTGGTGATCCCGGTCGTTCTTTTCCGCCAGGCTCGCAGTGTAGTGGGACGCGATCGAGTTGGCGAATTCTAGCTCTTTCCGGACGTTGCTGAAATCATGGCCTGCCGCTTCACAGGGCATGTTGATACCGAGCATTCCACAAAGTTTATTGTTGTTGTTGATTATGGCACTGTGGCTGCTGCTACTGTTGCCGATATTATTGTTGTCTAAAAGTGCTGTCCCTGTTGATGGTGGTGGTGGTGCTCCTTCCGCCATATTCCAACATCGGACACTCAGCAACAACAACAACCAAGCATGGTGCGTTTGTTTTTTGGAATTTTTTGAGCTACCAGGGTCTCGAGTGGGTGTCGACTTGGGCGGTTTTTAGCTAACGAGAGAGGAATGAATAAGATAAATTAAGATTGTTTCGTGTGTCAGTTTGCTACAAATGAAAACAATCTAATTAAGATGTCAGTTTATGTGAAATTCCTACGCAACGAGGGGCGCATGGTGACTGAAATGTAGTTGGCCTAGTAAAAAATAACCTCTACAGAAAGGGATTTAAAATTACACGGATTGCTTTGATTTCCTGATGACTCATAGGTCCAACGACATTATTATTGTCCGATACCCCTTGCTTGCGGAAAAATCTAGGGAAAGTGGCAGGTCAGAAAAGCCGGTCGCGTGAAATTATAACAACTGAGTCAAAAAAAAACAAAAACAAACACACAACCTCAACCTTCCCCGACCCGGCGGCCCTCGTAGGACTACGAACGTCGTCGTACAGAGCGACTGCTAATGGACACCCAAGTGTGCGATGCGAGGGAGAACGAGCGGAACGCAACATGAAGTGATATATAACTCCAGTGTTTTTAAAATTAAATCACATTATAACATTATACCAACGAGCTCGCAACGCCGAGGAACTCTGCCGCGAATTGCGTGGGCAGTGAAATGAATTGAGAATTTTTCGTCGAACCCCCACAACCCACCGTACATACGTCCAAAATGCACAAACTTGCCCCATTCATGCAGCACAATTTTACTACCAACACACACGCACTCGCCTCATATGACTTGTTGTGCGAAAAAGGCCATCTCCCTCCGTGCAAGGGTTCAGCTCATCACAGCATGCGACGACGACGACGACGGCGGTGGCGGCGGAGACGGTCCAAAAGTCAGCCTGCGTGTGGCAATGGCAAAGACATTGTGCGGAGCGGGAGGGGCGGGTCCTCCATAAAACGCAAATTAAATTAAGAGGAAAGAAATTTTACAATGGAAATAATTAAGAGATTTTAATGCAGCTGGGGCGCGAAGGATGAAAGTGTCAAGCGAACGACCGGGGCCGATGGCGAGCGATCGTGGCCAACTGGGACAAATTTGCCGTTTTTTTTTTTGCTTCTTCGAAGTGGCAGCAAGCGGTGATGATCGCATTTTCCGTAACGACGATCGTAGTGTGCTGACTTATTCTAAGCTCGTTGAGTGGGTCAATGATTTTCGTGGAATGATTTGAAAAATTGCAGGGGGCGTGAGGGCTACATTCGTATCACCCTCTAGGGTGCATGCGGTGTAGTTCATGGTGGTTTGAGCCCCTTTAACAAACCATGTGAGAATCAGTATTTTTAAGTGTGTAGCGAACCGCACACGAATCAATATATTGATGAATACAGAATTATTGTCAATACCGATGTATTGACGTCAATATAGAATGAATTGACAATACGATTATTGGTCCACTTGGTCCTCTACAAGCAAGTACAATCAATATATTGATCAAATCATAGCAATTCTGACTATGTTAGTCATTGTGATGATGCCTCTGTAACTCCTAATGCTGGAAACCCGGAACGCGCCGTATAAAGTGCCATGGAAGCCCCCCATCCCTCCGTCTCAGTCCTGCGCCATCAGCAGCCTTCGTTCATCATAGTCGTTCCGGACCTGCTGTCGGATGTGGAGAGGGGGTCTTCCAACCCACTCACTATGGCGAGTATCCAATGAGACTTGATGATGGTCAGTTATTGCCTGATGCATCTGTGATTTCCAGGGAGAGCAGTCGTTCGATTCCTTGCCGCAAGCAGGACGTCGTGATCTTCTACCAAAACGCCGGTGGAATGAATTCTGATGTTGAAGAGTACCGCCTAGCTGTATCGGATCGTTATTATTGTCCTGTGCGAAACGTGGCTCGATTATCGATTTCCAATCAAGTCTTCGGTCCTGACTACGAGGTCTTTCGTTGCGATCGGAATCCTAACAACAGTCGTAAATCTACAGGTGGAGGTGTCCTTGTAGCTGTCCGTAGCGGGTTGGAGGCAAAGGCCATCGAGAACGATTCATGAAACTATGTGGAGCAGGTTTGGACAGCCATCAATCTGGGTGATGGCACACTATTTCTATACGCTCTGTACATTCCACCTGATCGAGTCCGCGACAATGAACTCATCGATACTCACTGTCGGTCAGTTTTCACAGTTGTCAAAAGTGCCACTCTAGTTGATGAGATATTCATTTTTGATGACTTCAATCTGCCAGGCGTTTCGTGGAGTCCATCTCATAGCGGATTCCTGTACCCAGATCCTGATAGCTCTACATTTCACGCAGGAGCTATTAGCCTTCTCGACAACTACAGCGCAGCGACGCTTTCGCAAATTAACCATGTAGTTAACGAAAATGGTCGTAGCTTGGACCTCTGCTTCGTGAGCACGCAGGACAGGGCTCCATCAATTTCCTCGGCTCCTTGTGCACTAACCAAGCTAGTTCCACATCACCCTCCTCTAATTGTCAATTTTGAGGAAAAACACGGGCGTGATTTTGAAGACTATCCTGCTACGGTTTCTTATGACCTCCGTAAAGCTGACCACCGTAGCATCATAGATATATTATCTAGCATGGTATGGGAGAACATCCTTGATCCAGATGACGTTGAGGCTGCAGCGCAAACCTTTTCACATGTCTTGGCATATGTCATTGACAGACACGTCCCGAAAAGAACTCATCACAAAGTGTCTCACCCTCCCTGGCAGACGAGAGAGCTACGTAGGTTGAAGTCAATCAAGAGAGCAGCATTGAGAAGATATACGAAGTATCGCACGCTTCCTCTGAAACTACATTATGTGAGGCTGAATCACATGTATCAGCGAGTCAGTCGTGAATGCTTGTCAAGTTTCCAACGAGGAATCCAGCGCACACTTAAGCTACACCCGAAATCCTTTTGGAACTACGTGGACGAGCAACGCAGGGAATCCGGCCTCCCATCGTCTGTGGAATTCAACGGAGAAGTTGCTGCCACTGTTCAAGATATATGCCACCTTTTTTTCCGAAAATTTTGCCAGTGTATTCACTAATGAGATACTAACTGACGACCATATTAACCTGGCTGCCAGGAACGTTCCAGTAAACGATCAAACGCTGGGTGCAATTGATGTTAATGCAGAAATGATTTCTAATGCCACGACTCTGCTCAGTCATCCTTCAATCCTGGACCTGGACCTGAAGGAGTTCCATCTGTATTTTTGAAGAGACATATTGCTAGATTGTTAATTCCGCTTCTTCGCCTGTTCTCTCAGGTGGCATATTTCCATCTTGCTGGAAATTTGCGCACATGTTACCCGTCCAAAAAAAAGGAAGGAAACGGGCTGTGGATAGCTATCGAGGAATTACATCGTTAAGTGCCGTTTCGAAGCTATTCGAGCTAGTGATTATGGAACCGTTGCTGTCCCATTGCAAGCAGTATTTGAGTGCTGATCAACATGGGTTTACTGTCGGCTGCTCTACAACCACCAATATGCTGTGTCTCACATCGTATGTAACCGAAAGCATGTCGGATCGGGTTCAAACGGACGTTATTTATTCAGACCTATCCGCAGCATTCGATAAGTTGAACCATGCTATTGCGATTGCTAAACTCGGCAGGCTCGGTATATGCGGTAATCTTCTGAGTTGGTTTCGATTATATCTTACCAGTCGGCAACTAGAGGTTGCCATAGGAAATTGCAGATCAGCTAGCTTCTTCACCACGTCAGGTATACCTCAGGTATACCATACATAAGGTAAGCCACATGGGACCGTTAATTTTATACAGTACTTCAACGACGTGCATCTGATCATCGAAGCTCCTCGGTTATCATATGCAGATGACCTCAAAATCTTCCTAAGAATATGCTCCATTGCTGACTGTCACTTTCTTCAACGTCAGCTGAATGTATTCGCTAGTTGGTGCAGGTTAAACAGAATGGTAGTGAACCCAGCCAAATGCTCCGCTATTACGTTCTCACGAAAACAACAACCGATAATATTTAGCTTTGACCTGCTTGGCTCGACAATTGAGACGCGTGAATCAGGTGAAAGACTTGGGTGTGATCTTGAATTCGCAGCTTGCATATGTTGTTGATAAGGCGTCAAGAACTTTAGGGTTCATTTTTAGGATAGCTAAAAACTTCACTGATATCTACTGTCTAAAATCTCTCTATTGTTCGCTTGTTCGATCGAGGCCTGAGTATTGTTCAAACTACAACAACGGTGCCGAGAGAATTGAATCTGTTCAACGTCGCCTTCTTCGTTTTGCGTTGTGTAGATTGCCTTGGAATTATCCGTTTCGATTACCCAGTTACGAAAGCCGTTGTCAACTTATCGACCTAGAACTTCTCCGGACTAGAAGAGACACAAGCAGAGCCCTAACTGTGGCCGATATCCTGCAAGGAAGGACAGATTGCGAGGCTATCCTGAGGCAAATTGACCTGAATGTTCAACTCCGACCGCTTCGTAATAACCTAATGCTAAGACTGCCTCTACGTCGCACAAATTATGGAGCGTACCATAGTTGATAAGGTTGGGGCTTCATCCAGCCTGTTGATGTAAAACAACAATAAAACAACAATAAATCCTCTGTATCATAGAAGGCAAACTCCCCAAGTAACCACCTAGCACGCTAACTACCCGATAATCACCCTTTTTGCGATATAAGGCAAATATAGGGTTTTCGAACTTTATATCAGTCGTACATCAGCCTTATAATGCAAAAAGGGCAATTAGCGGGCTTGTTGATTACTTGGGTCTTGTTTAATAAATGTTGTCAAACTGTTTGCTGCCGTTGACGCTGAGCTAGTTCTGAAAACTGCAAACTTCTTGAACAATCAATCAAATTTTTTCTTCACGGTCAAACCATCGTTGTCTACATCAGCTGTATCATCCAGTCGAATCAGTTTCTCTCTTCACTCGGCTGTCTTTCAAATCAGGGACACTCCCAGTGATGCTTTCAATTTTTCGATTACCTTGGTTACAGTAGACCTCGTCGAATCCGCCATCAAGAAGCTGAAATTTTCTAATGCTGCTGGCCCTGACGGGATCCCCTCAAGCATCCTGATTTTTTTTTCTTTTTTTTTTTTTTTAATT